CTCTTTCCTATACACATCATTTCCTTTAGATTCCTTTGTTGCTGCTCTTCCATCTGCCTGAAATGCCCTTTCCTAATCTTCCCCAAACTCCATCAATCCTTCAAAGCCTATGGAAAATCATCTCTTCGTGAAGTTTTCCCTGATCTCCCTGGCTAGACGTTATCTTTCCCACTTTTGAAGTTACATAGCACTTTATCAAAATCTCCTTATGTCTCTTAATTATACTATAAGTGGCAAACAGTATTATATAGTGACCATCTCCCCTTTTCAGGAAATAAGTGCACAACTATCTCTGATAAAATATTTACTAGGTGACTACATTAAAGTCTATGGTTTCTAGAGGTTAAGGCTTCTAATTCAGGATGCTCTCACACCTTATTAATGAGACTCTCTTCTCTTTTCATTTGAGCCACTCTCTGGGATGACAATGAACACTTCAGTTAGCTCTATTACCTGTCATGTGAACAGCTGCAAGAACTATTTCCACAGAAGAGGAATATCTGAAGCCTCTCTGCTTGTGGCTATGGAATCTGTCCTTTAACCTTCTGAGTAAACTTAATGCCATATGTGGCCGGTGATGGACCTAAGAGTGTGAATGTTTAGGTCTAAAATGACCCTGTAGTGGGTATTTTAAATATTCTTGGCCCACTATCAAAAAACTAGTAAATAAATGTACCAAAATCATTAAAATTGAAACCAGACCTTTTCTCTCTCCACCCCACCCTCCCAGATAGAGTGTATGTGTGTGTATACATGTGTATACACATACACACACACACACACACACACACACATATAACTTTCATCTGTTCAGAAAAGAGGGCTTTGCCTGTGAGTAAAGAGTTGCAGGGACTATGAGAAATGACTTATAGGTTATAGTTGGAGACAAAGAGGGTAAACAATGCTAGGAAACAGGGTCAGGAAAGATTTAGGGGTGGGGAAACTTAAGAGTACACAGTAAAGTATACAAGAACAATGTGACAAAGGCAGAAGCCCAAGTAGAGTGGCTTGCTGAGAAAAATGGCAATAGAAAAAGTGGCTCAGGGCCAGCAAGTGGCATAGTGATTAATGTGCTAGACTTCCACATAGCCAATCACAGTGAGTCCCAGACCCAGTGGTTTGAAACTCAAGCCAGGCAGGTGTATGCATGCCCAAAATCTCAAGACAAAAATGGAGAAAGGAGTATGGCATGGCCATTCTCCCTGAGAGATGATTTCTCACTTTCTCTCTCTCTGTCTCTCCAATGAGCACACAAGCCCTATGGAAAAAAATCTAACAAGAACAATGACAAAAAAGTGGCTCAAAATAGAGGCCAAAATAATAAGTAGGAGCTGGATCTCTAAGGGTCTTATAAGCAAGAATATAGAAAGTAGACAGTGAGAGAAAACATGAAACAAACTCTGGGTTTTAATTAGCAGGATATAATAAGTTGATATGCATGTTCAAAAGGTCATTTTACCAGTGGTGGGAACCAGCAGTTAGCGTAATGGCTATGTCGCTGGACTCCCACATAGTCGACCGCGGTTCACGTCTCGGACCCGGTGGCTTAAATCTCACGCCAGGCGCGTGTGCGTGCGTGCCCAAGATCCCGAGAGGAGAATGGAGAAGAAGGGATTGTGGCGTGACCATCCCCCCTGGGGGTGATTTCTCGCTTTCTGTCTCTATGTCTCTGTCTGTCTGGCGAGCGCACGCGCCCTATAGCGAAAACCTCTCCAAAAAAAAAAAAAAAAAAGGTCATTTTACCAGTGGTAGTAAGGGTGATTTGGGGATACAAGACTAATAGACTTGAAAAAAAGAGTTCAATGGTCCAAACAAATGAGAGGATGGGATTGAGTAAGAAAATGAAAGTTTAAAAAAAAAAAAAAAAAAGAAATGAAAAAAACATATGAAGGTAGAATCAAGAAGTCTTGGCCACAAAGTTCTTAGCTAAGAAGGTCCAAGGAGAGGAAGGACTATAGGGAAACTTTCTGGTTTGTTGCTTTGGTGGTTAAATAGATTATCAGTAAATAACTCCCCAAGTTTATTTTAAAGGAGGAAAAAACGACTTGCAGTAATAGTCAATCCAAGTAATTTTGAGCTTAAGGAGCCAATAGGATAGAAAATAGAAATGCCCCATAACTAACTGGATATGCACAGCTGGAATTGAGAAGAAACATCCAGAATGAGAATTAACAGCCTAATCCTTGATATGTGAAATCATGTGAGTGGATGTTATTACTGAAGAAGTCCCGGGAAGATGAAAAAAAAGAGCCAAGGGCAGAACCCCAAGTGACAGTCACATCTCAGAGTCAGGAAGGAGAATGACAAAAGGATACCAAAAAGAAAAGATCTGCCAGACAGACAGTATTAACAGCAGGACAATTTGATCATAGACCTTCGGTAAGCTTGAAAATACTCCACTGGATTCAGCAATTTTTAGACTACCAAAATTCTTCACCAGGGTGGGGTTTTACTGAGGGATGTGAGAAGGGAACCAAGGGAAGGTGAGAGGGAATGGGAGGGGGGGAACTAGTAGGGAACAGATATTACCATTAGGGAGTGGCTATACCCAATACAAGTTAAGATTTTTTGGGTTTTTTGGGGGTTTTTTTTAGAGAGGTTTTTGCTATAGGGCGTGTCCGCTCCCCGGAAAGACAGAGACAGAGGGACAGAGAGACAGAGAGACAGAAAGCGAGAAATCACCCCCCAGGAGGGATGGCCACACCACAATCTCTTCTCCTCCACTCTCTTCTAGGGATTTTGGGCACGCCACACGCGCCCAGCATGAGTTTAAGCCACCGGGTCCAGGACTCGAACCACAGTTGGCTACATGGGAGTCCGGCAACATAGCCATTGCTAACTGCTGGTACTACAAGTTAAATTTTTTTTAAGGTGCCCTGTAAGCTGTTCTGCCACCTGGCACGAACCATCCACTTCCCCCCACTGGGGAAGGACATGTTATCTCCAAGTACGGCACTTTGGCATGCTGAGCATTTCTAAAGGAGATGGGAAGATCCTAGAAACAAAGTCTCTCTGACTTTCTCCTTCCCTCCTGTCTTTCACCCCCTCTCCCTCCCCAAAGTTGATCCTAGATACCAGAATTCCTCTTTCCCAATACAGGTCTTAGACACGAATTGCTTCTCCTCTAAAACAAGTCGTAAAACTACCAAGGTCACTGTCTCCCGTTTCCTTGAAGACCCTCATTCCCTAGAAGACCTGACCTATATGAAGAGGAAGGAATGCTGCATAGAGAGGCCACGAAGAACTGGACAGACTCAGTGGGTCCCGGGCCCTCCCTTCTGCCCCCCACTCTGGCCTATTACCATTAGATTATTCCTTCTACCAAACACATTTCTACGTGGCTGTCCATTCTTCATGGAATGTCAGCACACAAATAGAACGTTTTCCTTGCCTTAGGGGCTTCATTTCTGAGGACTCTTAAGTCACGAAAAAGTTCGGTAAATCAATTTTTTATGTTTTTTTCTTGTTAACTTTTTGTTATAGCAATGACACCAGTAAGCCTTATGATGGGGTGAGAAAATATATCACAACTCCCCTCCCACACATACCCACAAACACTTTGCAGATCTTCAGAAACCCTGGTGTGCAGTTTTCCCCCCTCAGCGGGGCGCCGCCCCTTCCGCCCAGCAGCCCTCAAAAACCTGCTAGAAAGTTCTCCTCTCCAACGCCCTCCCTGATGCTCTCAGGAATAAAGAACTGTGTTTCGTGTTCCCACGGCTTTGTTCATACCTTAATACAGCTCTGTAACTATCTCTTGCTTGTCTGGCTCAAAACAAAGAGGAAGCCAGACCAAAAAGTCAAAAAAAAGCTGAGAAAGACGCCCTCACAGATACCCTGAGAGAAAAACTACAATTCCCATGAGGCAGTGGGTCCGGCATCCGCAACTCCCAGCATCCACTGCGTGGCCCAATCCTGTCAGAATAGTTGGTGCTGCGTGAGGCGAGTTCAAGTTCTCAGAAGGTGTGGAGAAGCCCCAGATTTTTGGGATGGCGGCGTCTGAGGCAGGCCATGAGGCGTCGACGGAGCGACTAGATATCGCGCGGGGCCTAGAGAACGTGCCCGTGAGCGCGTGGCCCTCAGGGGCGGAGCCAGCGCCCTTCCAGGTAGTGGGCGGGGCTGGGCGACCAGGAGAGCGTGTGTGGCCCCCCTGTGGGCGGGGCCAGACGTCCGCGATCTGCGCGCGGATCCCAGGGGAGGGGCCCTGCTTTTCCAAGTTGTGGGCAGGGCTAAGCGGGCGGGAAAGCTGTGTCCGCCCTCCGGAGGCGGGGCCCCGCTATTCCAGGTAGTGGGCGGGGCCAAGTGGCTGGGAACCTTAGGCGTTTGGCTTTCCCTCTGGTGGTTACTTCTCAAGCTGATTCTCTAGCTCTTAAATCGATCTTTTACCATATCACCTTAGAAACTTCAGAGGTCCCTTAGAAAGAGCCTTGAGACAACCTAGCTTTTTGTCTAGGTTCTGTTCTCAGAACTTCATGAAGGGTCTGGTACAAATCACTTCCCTCTCTGGTCTCAGATGTCTCGTGTAAGATGAAGATGGAGCCTATAAATGGATCTCAGCCTAGTATCATGGTTAAATTGTGTTTAATCATGTGCTTTAACTAACCCCTAGAGTCAGATTTCACTGAGGTCTCCCTAGTATTGTGAGCGCTTAGCAAATACAAGTTAGCTTTGGCTAAAGCCTTAGAGCCCTCCAATGTACATTTTAAATAATAGTATCTCTCCCTCAAATTGCTTTGAGAATTGCAGGTAAAACACAGTTCCTGGTTTGCTGTAAGAACTTAATAAATGCTCACTACTACTCTTGTCTCTAAGCCCTTCCTATTCTTAACTTTCTCACCGCTCTGACTTTGGCCTGAAAATTACCTAAGGAATAAGGAATGACAAGAAGTAAACCCAAGGATATTGAAATGGAAGGAGTTCTGGTTTTAGATATTACAGAGCTCAGTTCAGGATTTAGCTATTTTACATCCACAGAGCCTGAGCATCTTCATCTACAAGATAAAAATAAACATTTAAAATTTTATAACCCTTTTCACATCCATTATCAATATTGATGCCTATCTGCCCTTTTTTTCTTTATCATTAGGATCAGATAAGGTACTATATGTAGCAGTTTTCAGGTTGTAGAGTAGGATATTAATGTTCAGAAATGGTTCCCCCCTCAAACTACCTTTGGCAATTTATGGTTAATAATTTGGTTGGTAAACACTAGGAAACAGTGGTCCCTGAAAGCTTATTCAAGACCAGATACTGCTGAATGCTATGCATTTTCTTTATTCAATAAATAATTGAGTGTCTACAATGTGCCAGGCATTGTGTAAGGCTGGGCCTAGAGAATAAAGAGCTGAAGCACACATTTCCTGCTCTGGAGCTTACAGAAGGATATAGAAAGCAAGTGGCCTAGAGATTGCTATCTAACCTGAACAAAATATACAAAACAAAATATAATCTAGTCCATTCTTAATTTAATTCAACAAATGTATATAGAGAAACTAAATGTGTGCAAGATAGTGGTTTGGGCTGCAGAGAATATGCTAAGACTTCAGGAATTCTGTAAAAAAAAAAAAAAAAAAACGAATCCAAGTACAATTTTATTTTGGTTTTAAGCCACCTGACCCAGGTCTCAAACCACAGTCAACTACGTGGGAGTCCAATGACGTAACCATTACACTATCTCCTGGTCCATGAAATAAACTTTTAAAAAATCAACTTATTTAAAAATAAATTAAGTTGTATAAGTATCTCCTTTAGAATCATCTTAATCATTAATGTTGAGGATATATTTCTGACTACTTTCCAACTTAAGATACTTTCTAAGGGGCCTAGGAAAGTCATATTTACAAACATTATTCTTGCTGGAATAGACCACTCTGGTCTAGTAATTGTGGGTAGCACATTACATCCTGGCATAGCATCACCAGATAAATAGCAAGGCTTTCTTATCAATGTCTAAGTTCAATTCAGACATTCTTTTCTGCTGACTCCAAGTCTCTCTGAGACAAAGATTTGTAACCAATTAGTAACCTAAAAATTGCTAAACCCACTTATAGGGGCCTGCAGGTTTTGTGGTGGTTAAGGCACTGGATTCCCACATGGCTAACTGTGGTTCGAATCTTGGACTTGGTTGCTTGCTTTCTCACTTTCCATCTCTCTCTGTCTTTCTCTAGTCAAATTAAATAATATTATTAAAATAATTCTTTTAAATAACGAAATAAACCTACATATAACCTCTGAGTCCCTGCTTCCACCTGTTCCACCTTTTTTGGAGCAGGCCAATGAAAAGACTCTTTATTCTGACTCACAATATTGTCTGTGTCTCCTGTTCTCAGAATTGAATAAAAGAACTGCTACAATCTAAGCAACCTGTTTCCAGGCCTAATCACTCACAGTCATGCTTAGAATAAACCATATTAATTATTACATCAACAGAGCTTGGTCATTTCCATTGACAGTGTCCATAAAACCAGGGAGTTTGGGGTGGGCCCTATGGCTTCTTCTTTAAGGGGCTAGATCCCAAATGGCTGACCCTTTGGTTCAAGTCCTGGCTTCAGTGGCTTGAAAAGATGCCTGGCACAGGGTGCATGCATGCCCAAAGTCCCAACAGGATGAGAACTGGAGAAGAGATTGCTGCATGACCATGCCCCATTTGGGGGTACGTTCTCTTTCTCCCTCTCTCCATCTCTCTGTTACTCTCTGGCAAGCCCATGTGCCTTCTGGCAAAATGCCAAAAAACACATGGGGCTTGATGTACTGATTATATTTTTCAAAATGCATTAAATATATACTTGTCCATTAAAAAGGGTAAGATGACTCCAGCAGCCTGAAAAACTTCAGATGTGTGTGCATGCATGCCCCCAAATCCTGACAGGATAGAGATATAGTGGATAAAACATTGTAGTGTGATCACACCCAATTGAGGAATACTCTCTGCCTTTCTGGCAAGCATACATACCTCTGGCAATTAAAAAAACAAACATTTTCAGGACCAGCAGTTAGCGTAATGGCTATGTCACTGGACTCCCACGTAGTCGACTGTGGTTCAAGTCCCGGACCCGGTGGCTTAAATTCATGCCAGGCGCGTATGCGTGTGTGCCCAAGATCCCAAGAGGAGACTGGAGGAGAAGAGATTGTGGCGTGGCCATCTCCCCTGGGGGGTGATTTCCTGCTTTCTGTCTCTCTGTCTCTGTCTGTCTGGTGAGCGCACGTGCCCTATAGCAAAAAAACCTCTCAATAAATAAATAAATAAATAAAAAACCTTTTCTAAAATACAAAAAGGAGAAAAAGAGGAATGAGGAAACCTTGTAATTGATCCTTAAGCCTACAGTTGATGTACATAAATAAAATTCAATCCCACAGTATTCTATTAATAGCTACCTATTTATACAAACAACTTGAAACAGGGAGTTACAAAAAAGACTGGATAACCTTCCCCCACTTTTTTTTTTTTTTTTTGATATATTTTTACCATAGGGTGCATGTGCTCTCTGGGGACAGAGAGAGAGGGAAAGTGAGAAATCACCTCTCAGGTAAATAGTGATGCCACAATCCCTTCTCCATTCGCCTCTTGAGATTTTGGGCACACACATACATGTGCCCAGTGTGATTCTCAAGCTGTTGGGTCTGTGACTGGAATTGCCATCTACCATGTGGGACTCTTACACCTTAACCACCATGCCACCTGCTGGCCCCTGGATCTCTTTCTTAATGAGCGTATAGTGTTATGAAAGAGATAAAACATGCTTGAAACATTAAACAAGGAACCTAAAAGTACTTTCAACTAATTTTCTTCCATATATTCATGAAATACAAAACTATTCATAGAAAAGGTCAAAACAGCCTGTTTACTCCAAGCCCTACCTTTACAGCACATGCACACCTAAGAATTTAAGCATGAAAAACTCAAGTACAAACAACTTTGTATTTGATTTACTTTTGGGTACTGTGTGAAAAGGCAAAAAGGACAAATGATTAGATTAGAAATAAGCATATCCTAATGTCATCAGAGTAGAAAGCTAAACAGAAAGTTAACTAATTGATTTCCCTGAGCTCAGATTTAGAGCTAACCATCTTCAGGTCTCTTAGAAACCAGCTTCGAACATTATTTTTAAGATCTCAACTAGGCCTTGACAAGAATTACCAGCTCGGAGTCTTCTAATAGCTGCTTGGTGTGAAAATAAACTTAAAAGGCTAGAGGCCAAGTACAAAGTCTTAGAGCCGAGATTTCAACATGATCAAACAAAGAATGAAGATTTTCACACGTCCTTAAAATTCAGAACTGACTCTCAGGTTTTAAGCCCAGAATATTGTATGGCATCATACTTTCAGTTTCTGGTGCTGCATTACAGAATGGAACCCAGAAAAATCAAACTTCCAGTTAAAAGCCATCAAGAGCTATAATCAATTGATCAGAAAATACTTGTGGGTGTACCTGCTCTGCACCTTGTACTATAGAAAGGAACCCTGCTCCTAGCACCATGCCATACCCCCAAACATTATGACCATGCCTTTTTGTTTTCTTTTTTTGTCATAGGGCACATGCACTTGTCATAAACAGAGAGAGAGAAAGTGAGTAATCACCACTTTGGGGATGGCTACACAATTCCTTCTTTGTGATGTTGTGCACTCATGCACATATACCTGGCATAATTTTCAAGCTGCCAGATCTGGGACTCAAACTGTGGTCAACCATGTGTGAATCTAACACATTAACCACCATGCCACTTGCTAGGCCTAGAGACATATGTTTGTTAGAAAGGCCAAACCTACATATTTAACACAATTAGGGAACCCTATAATCTATGCCATTTAGATCCCAAACTTCATGCTATTAACTGTAAGTGCAGGTTTAGTTCAGAGAAGAGAAATGATTGTGAACCAAAGAAGCCAAGAAAGTATGTTTGGCTTTCAGCATGTCTCCTGTTTCCATTATGGCATTTTAGGTAGCCAAAAAGATTTTCCCTTTTCTGTCAAAAACTTGAAATCTCCACCCAGTGTTTCAAGAACCCACTTTCTAGTGTACCCACTTGTACTGATCATTTTCTTCTACTCCCAACCTTTGCCTGAACAATTCTGTGCCTTGATATGTGCCATGAAAAAGTAAAGCTTATGTCATAACAATGCAAGAGATAATCAAAATCCCATTCTCCTGTCTCACTGTATATTTTTCTGGCTGGATGTTTCTAAATCCCAGTGTGTACATGTAAGAGGCAATAAGGCAACATTTGCTGATGAATGAAAGAAGTCTGGACTGGGTCAGCTCTTGACTTCTCTACTTGAGATGGATAAGGAATGGTAGATAGGAAAATAATGGCTAGATACAATTTTGGCGTATGTTTGAACATGGGTGGTTTAACTCTAACAACCTTTCTTCACCACTCTGCTTCGCTGACTGAATAATTTGTTTTTTTGTTTTGATTTATTTTGAGAGACAAGATGTAAGCATTTTTTGACAGGATCTCATCATAGTCCCCTGCTCAGCCTCCCAGTTAGCTACGATAGGCGTATGCCTTCATGCTCTGCCTGTTTATGCTGGTTAGTCTGGGGCCCAAACTAGGGTTGCCCATGAGTCCCAGGCCTCACAATTCTTGTGGAGGATTTATATCCCAGCCAGTAGTTTTTATGTGGATTTTTTCATTTTTTTCCTTCACAGAAACTTGTGAGATAGATGAGGAAATGTTTAGTGAGATTAAGTAATTTGCCAGAAATATGTGTTTTAAACATCTAAAAATAATACCTAGAAGAATCAAGAGAAGCGAGTATTTTTTTTTGGAGAGATTTTCACTGTAGGGCACGTGCGCTCGCCAGACAGACAGAGAGAGACATAAAGACAGAAAGCGAGAAATCACCCCCCAGGGGGGATGGTCACGCCGCAATCCCTTCTCCTCCATTCTCCTCTCGGGATCTTGGGCACGCACACACACGCGCCCGGCATGAGTTTTAAGCCACCAGGTCCAGGACATGAACCACAGTCGACTACATGGGAGTCCAGCGACATAGCCACTACGCTAACTGCTGGTTTCCGAGAAGCGAGTATTTTTAAGGTATCAAATGCCTAGCCCTGAATACTGCATTATTTCATTTAAAGTTCATGAAAACCACCCCATGTATGAGTATTGCTCCGTCTTACAGTTGCTGCCCAAAGGTTAGCAACTCACTTGCCAAACGTTCCAAAGCTTCTGAGAGCCTGGCTCTGTTTGTGTCTTCTTTAGGACATTCATTGTTCTGCACTAAGTTCTACTGGTTGGCCAGGGTTCAGCTCACATCCATGGTTTTCCTGTCTGCCCTTCAGCACACTTTGCTCTAGTCTCACCTCCCAGTGGGAGACCTTGTTGTTCATTGGACAGTTACACCTTTGACTAACCACTCCGGTCATTTCCTGGAACCCTTCTCAGCTTCCGCCCTGAGAAGAGTGTATCAGTCAGGACTCATTTGTTTGCAAGAAATGTAGTAAACACAACACACACTGGCTCCAGCACAAAAAGGAAGGAACTCCTAAAAGTTCCAAAGTGGTAACTATAGCCATGTCAGGATCCAAGAACTCTAAATTATCAGGTATTTCTTTCCACCACCTTTCCCCTTGGCATCCCTGCTTCTCCTTCTGGTGGCTGGCTAGACTCTCAGTAGGTCTTATCTATGTGATAGGACTTGGGAACCCCAAGTGAACACTATAGTTTACCAATGCTCATAGCAAGAGAATGACTTTTTCCGAGTTGTTTCAGCAGATATCCCAGAATTATATTTCACAGGTGTTGCTAAGGTCATGGTCCATCCATGAACCAAATGCTGATGAAAAGAGTGAGTGATGTTGTTTACCCAGGTCTAGGTTTCTATCCAATCAGGATCTCCATCCAAACCACTGAGACAAAAATGGGGAGGGTTCACTTGAGAAGAGTTGGGGTGCTGTTATCAGAAGGAAAAAAATGTTATAGTTATTAGGACGGTAAAAAATACATGTCCACTATGAATGTACCCCTCCCCCCCCAGTTTTGATCATTCCTTGACTTACAATAGGTAGAAACAGGCTCCAGGATAACAACTTTGTGGATCAGCTTGTCCAAAGCTTTGTACCAGGAAAAAACATATAGGCTGTGGAAAGAGAGTTAGAAATTGGGAGCATTTAAATTTAACTCAGGTCAGCTGGCTTCCAGTTTGTAACCTATTTTCTGTGAGTGTTCAGAAAGATCCTCAAAGCTTAACAGTTTGTCTGCCATGTAAATATTAAAATAGACTGTCAGGTCAGTGATCTCAGATTATCTAATTCAGGTAAAATAACTTTCTTGAGGGCCAATCCCATGGCACAGTGGTTGTACATTGGGAGTGGGATCCCGTGTGGCCAACCATGATTCAAGTCCTGGTTCTGGTGGTTTGAGTGTGTACCCAGAGTCCTGACAGGAAAGAGAAATGGAGGAAGGATTGTGATAGGATCATACCTTATTGGAGGTGCTTGCTTTCTCAGTGTCTCTTTATCTGGAGGGCATGCACACCCTCTGTCAATGAAGAAAGAAAAAAGGGAGGAGAAGAATAATGAAAAAGAAGCAAACAAACAAAAAAACAATCTTGATGGAATGGCATTTTAGTGATCTTTTAGGGAGAAGAAAATGGGAACACATGAAAACAGGATGACTTGCAATATCATATTCAATGATTATATTCATCAGTGGAAAAATGATATTCTCATTACACAAGAAATTTGCCCAAAGTTTTTTGTTATCCTTCAGAAGTATCTACAGCTTTTCAGATTTACCTAGCATTTTTAATCATAGTCCCTAAATGATTTTACATTGTGTGTCAAATTTAATCGCATGATTAAAAAAAAATGCAGCCCTAGATTCTTCAGAGTTTATTTTTTTTTATTTTATTTTTTTAGGTTTTTGCCACAGGGCGTGTGTGCTCATCAGAGAGGAAAAGTGAGAACCCCTTCCCCTCTGCCCGCCCCCCCAGGGAGGATGGCCATGCCACAATCCCTTCTCTTCCATTCTCCTCTCAGGATTTTGGGCGCACACACAAATACCTGGCATGTTTTTTAAGCCACTGGGTCCAGGACTCAAACCACGTAGTCAGCAATGAGGAATTCTGCAACTTAACCACTACACCATCGCTGCCCCCCTTTTAAAATATTCTTAAATAAAAATAAGAAAAAAAAAAAGAAAAAACACCTTTTCAACAAGGATCAATATGTTCCCCTAGTTAGAAAGCTTCACTGTCATACTTAATTTTAAAATGAGTTATCTGTGTCAAGAAAAAAAATGAGTTTTCTGATTTATTTAGTACCTTAAAAATATGTGTACCTTTAAGCACAAATCAATTCAAAAGAATTCTACATGAACACTTTAACAAAAAGATAGTAAAATCTTCCTTTCCCTGAAAATATCTAGATAACCATTTACATATCAATGTTGAATCTTTAAGAAACTTGAAGTAGATTCTATTTAAAACAGCAGTCATTGAATTTGACTAATAGGATATCTTTTTATTTTTATTTTTTTTTAAGTTTTTACTATGGAGACTTGTGAGCTCCCTGGAGAAAAAGAAAGAGGGAAAGTGAGAAAGCATACCCCACCTCATCCCCCTCACCCTTCCCACAGAGGGGATGGCCACACTGCAATCCTTTCTCCTTCTCTTGGGATTTTTGGGCACACTTGTAGTGTTTTTCAAGACATTGTTGGTTAGGCGCTGGACTCCATCTTCAAAGATGGCCACGTGTGATCCAGCCACCTTAATCACCACGCCACCGGTTGGCCAGGATATTTTTCTAAGCCATCCTTTATCCCTTTAGGACTTTTCAACTAAGCTAAAGCTGTAAGAAATAATGCAAACAGAAGCCATTCTCTGCTCTCCACCCCCAAACTACTTTTTAAGCAGAACTGGCCTTCCCCCACAGGCCCTCCCACTCATCCTCCTCCTCATCTTTCACAGGAGGATGTCAATCCTTCCCCCACATCTCAGCAGTTTTTTAAATATAGGGTTTTGCACTTAACTACATAGCTCTCCCAGAGGCCTCCACAGGGAGTATAGCTACATGCTGTTCAATACCTTTCTAAAGCTTGGTTGGGAGATTAATGGAGGATTGACTGAAAGATACACGGTATGAACATTCCTCTAGGTACTCTAAAATCTATCTCCAATGAAAGGCCATGCAACTGGTGCCTTGCAGAACTGCTGTTACCCAACTATGCTGTGGCCTCATGCCAGCAGCCTTTATTCAGGGTCAGAATAAAAAACAGCTGATGATACTGCTTCCTGGAAAAGAATGGTGTAGAAGGACACATGGGCAAAATTTCTCTCTGGTATCAACACTGGAAAAGTCGATTCTTCTTCTGAGCTGCGAGCTTGTTTCTCATAGACAGTGCAAGCTGTACATCTAATTGTATATCCCTCTTCGAAGTGGCTGCTCTCAGGCAGAGCTGAATGTCCAGTCTACTTTACTACACACTTTGTGTGACTAAGCTCCCTGGACCAACTTGCTCTTATTTTCCCTTTCACTTCTTTTTTTTTTTTTTTTAAAGTTTTTTTACAATTTCTCCCATAAACAAGAAAGACAGAGAGTGTACCCTCAACTGTGCCTTAATGCTGCAGTTTGCCCCCAGCTTCAAGCAGCCCTGGATCATGAGCACGTGCTTGTCCCAGCATACTTAGGGAGATCTTCAGCTTTGAACACAGAGCCTTCCAATGTGGGTTAGCCTTGCACAGTGTGTTGGTTTGACTGTGCCACCCTCCAACCCTCACTCTTCTTACCTGTTGTTCATTTATCTTACCTGTTTCTAAATCTCATTAAGTCATTTTTGTAACAAGGCAGGTATAAATAAATGGATCAGGTTCCATATAAGCAAGAATTATTCTTTACTTAAAGGACTATACTGGGCTTATGAAAGATTTTAACTTTCAGGGTTTGGAAATATGCTTAGACTTAACATAGACTTTAACCACCTAGAGATTGTAATTTACAACGGTCTTTTTTTCCCATGACATTTAATAAATGTAACATTTTGAAAATACAAGTACATTTAAAAGACAGAAAATGTTTCATATTATATCTTTCTCATTTAATAAGAGCAGGATTTCTCTATAATAAATGTATAAAAATGTATAAAAAATCTACAGTAAGTTTAAATATATATAATACCTATTTGACAAATGCCATTTTTTAGAATCCTGCCCACAATTGATTTATTTATTATTTATGACTCTTATCTCCAGAAAGGATCTGAAGTAACCTACAATAAAAATACATATATCCATGTGTCTTATCAGGCTAAGGTAAAAGAGATCAGAAGCTAAGGATAAAACACTTCACCATATTCAAACACTAAATTCAGCGCTGATTTTGCCCAACATCAAAAGCTAAACAGAAAGCAAAGTCAGTCACAAATCTTTTTATTTCTAATAACAGAAATAATTTTTCTTATGTAATATGTTTTTAATATTAGGGGTTTTTGGGGTTTTTTGGAGAGGTTTTTGCTATAAGGTGCATGTGCTCACCAGAAAGACAAAGACAGAGAGACAAAAAACGAGAAATCACCCCCCAGGAGAGATGGCCATGCCACAACCCTTTCTCCATTCTCCTTGGGATCTTGGGCATGTACCTGGCATGAGTTTAAGCCACTGGGTCCAAGACTCGAACTGTGGTCGATTCCATGGGAGTCCAGCAACACAGCCATTACATCAACTGCTAGTCCCCTAATATTAGTTTTTCTATATTTTTATTTATTATACTTTAAATAAAACCACAAAAAATGTCAGTTAAAAATTAATCTTATTTTTAAACTGGAAAGAATATCAGACAACATTTTAGCATATTAGATCACTTCTGACATGTTTGAAGTAGATTGTGTACCAGTCAAAAACTGCTGGGAAAACATGGAATACTTACCGTGCCTTGCTGACTTCCAGTATTCATGTATTTCACAGTATATGCCTGATCTCGTAGCTGGACCCGGAGCAGACATCGATCCCACTCAAATAACCTTTCCTGGATGCATCTGTGTCAAAACTGCCTGCTTGCCTGGTACATGCTCCTGTCTCCGCCATGAGGAAAACTATGATGGTAATTCATGCCTTAGAAACATAGGGTCAGAAGCAAAGTATGCTGAGCCCATTTTTGAATGCAATGTCTTGTGCCAGTGCAGTGACCGCTGCCGAAACAGAGTGGTCCAGAGGGGTCTGCAGTTCCACCTCCAGGTGTTTAAGACAGAGAAAAAAGGCTGGGGACTTCGCACTTTGGAATTTATACCAAAAGGACGGTTTGTGTGTGAATATGCTGGTGAAGTTTTAGGAGTCTCTGAAGTACAGAAAAGAATTCACTTACAAACAAAACATGATGCAAATTACATTATAGCCATCCGAGAACATGTTTATAATGGGCAGGTAATGGAAACATTTGTTGACCCTACTTATATAGGAAATATTGGGAGATTCCTTAATCATTCTTGTGAGCCAAACTTGTTGATGATTCCTGTCCGAATTGACTCAATGGTACCTAAGTTGGCACTTTTTGCAGCCAAAGATATTCTCCCAGAAGAAGAACTCTCTTACGACTATTCAGGAAGATTTCTTAATGTAGCGGTGGGTGAAGACAAAGAAAAGCTAGATAATGGGAAACTACGAAAGCCTTGCTACTGCAGTGCCAAGTCTTGCACCGCTTTCTTGCCCTACGACAGTTCACTGTACTGCCTCTTAGAGAAGCCAAATAACAATTAGGAAGGAAATTTTCACCCACTGGCCACTCTCAGTAACCAAGCATTTGTGGCTCAGTCCCTTCTGCATACCCTTCTTGTAAGCAATTTATCCTGGAGGTAATTCTGCTGTGTGGTAGGCAGCTTGCCCCTCCTTATAGGGAAGGTCAGTGGTTCTCTAGCTCTGCCTCTACCTAGGGGCATAACTCAGGAACGTGGCGGTGTTCATCTATGTCCTTTCTCCTCCTTTGTGATACAGTTCTCAGTGTGACCCGGCTACATAACTATCCAGAGACTCACTTTCCTAGTTAGACGTCGCTAAGTGACTGAGTAGCTAATGGTATATAAGTAAAAACAATTTTGTTCTTAAATGGAGAGCTCCTGCCCTTCTCTTCTTCTTTCTTCCTGTTGGCTGGAAAGTATATCTGACGTATATGCTCCAGTTTGGAACTGGAGCAGCCATCCTGGACCTCAAGATGACTGTGGGGAAGGAAGCCATGCATTGACACCAAAATGAAAAGTTACTTGCTGATGATAATGTATATGGCAATGTCTTTGTCTTGACTGCTATGCACTATATTCGTGCTGGGGAAAGCCATGTTGAACACTGTAAAGATTATAGTGATTAAATGTAAATAATAAAAAGGAAAAAGAAAGGAAGCCATGCATAACAAATCAACAAGGCAAAAAAGAGTCTGCGTGTCTGGTACTGTATGGTCCTGATCTGATACCTCTGGATTTTTAGATGAGAAGTAGTCTCTCCCTTGTTGAAGGCATTATTATTGTGAATTTTCTAGTGTTTGAACTGAACCTAATCATGATCAAAAGACACACACACAATTGTGGCTGGACCAATCTAAGTTGAGCTTTCAGACCCATTTTATCGGTAATAAAGCTAATACTTTTATTTCCATCTGCCTTTTCCATCTTATTTCTCATTTGTTTCTAAGCATAGATCAAGGAAAAGGATATGATTATCACCTCCTAATGCTCTTATAATTACTACTAATAGAGAAAAATATAACCACAATAATGGCTTCTATGGTACAATCAAATGTCAGAAAAGTAAACATTCTAAAATGTTCAGTATATGCTTGGCTGTCCTCAAGAGCTTGTGAAGTTACACTTCAGAACTTCAAAAAGCCTTATTCCTTATGTATTAATAACACAAAAATAACCTGTCAACACCACAGAATGCTATGGGAATTTTATAATCTCAATCAAATTTCTTGAGTGTCTAACTACATTTCTACCTTCCTTAAAACAAGGATGTTGGAAAAAAAAAAAGAGCAAGGAAGTTGCAAAAATATAGTCATTATGGAAGTTTATTAAACATTTTGAAAGTTAAAATAATTATTTGGGCCCATTTAATATTATTTAATATATACTTTAATTTTTTTCTCTAGCGTATTTAAACTCTATCACTCGGGACCAGCAGGTGACGTAATGGTTATGTTGCTGGACTCCCATGTACCAACTACAGTTCAAGTCCTGGACTCAGCAGCTTGAAACTCAGCTGGGTGTCCATGTGTCCATGTCCAAGGTCCCCAGAGGAGACTGGAGGTGAAGGGATTGTAATGTGGCCATCCCCCCTGGGGGGTGATTTCTCACTTTCTGTCTTTGTCTTTCTGGCAAGCACCTAAAGCAAAATATAAATCTCTCTCTAAAAATAAGTTAATAAATGAATTAATTAAGTAAACTCTATCACTAGGAAGTCCTGCACTTTATAAATAATATAGGGATCCAAATTATAAATAACTCTATGTCTGTGTAATATAATCATGCTGGGTTATATACCTTTTTTTTTTTTTTTTGAGAGTATTTTTGCCAAGGGTGTGTGCGCTCGCTGGAAAGACAGAGACAGACAGAGAGACAGAAAGTGAGAGACCCCCCCCTCAGGGGGGATGGCCATGCCTCAATCTCTTCTCCTCCATTCTCCTTTCGGGATCTTAGGCACGCACACACACACACCCAGCGTGAGTTTAAGCCACCAGGTCTGGAACTCAAACCACGGTCAACTACATGGGACTCCAATGACATAGCCATTACGCTAACTGCTGGTCCCTATACATGTTTTTCATTCCTGTACTTATATCCTCAAAGTAAGATGATAACATGATTTATAACACTTAAATATCTTTATTTACTGCTCATGACTCTACAAGCTCTTTTTGCCTTTATGCTTTTTTTTTGAGAGAGATTTTTGCTATAGCGCACATGTACTCACCAAAAGTAAGAAATCACCCTCAGAGGGGATGGCCACACTGCAAACCCTTCTCTTCCATCTCCTCTCGGGATTTGGAGCACACACACAACGTACCAGGCATGCAATTCAAGCCATTGCAGCCATCAGGGCTGGGACTGGGACTCAAACCCTGGTCAACCATGTGGAAATCCAGTGACGTAACCATTGTACCATCTGCTGTCCTTCAGATTTTTTTCCCTCTGCAAATGCTTTTTAAAATACAGCTTGCCAGTGAGTCAGCCCCATGACCTAATGTTTAAGGGAGGATCCTGTGTGGCTGACTGGTTCAAACCCTGGCCCTGCAGCTTGAAAAACACACCAAACATGGATGCATACATATCCAAGATCCCAACAGGATGTAGAAATGGAGAACAAATTGTGATGTGACCACACTCCATCTGAGGGGTGCTTTTTCCTTCTCTGTATATGTGTGTCTGTTTGTCTCTCTCTTTCTATATAGTACATACACCCTCCAGCTATTAAAAAACTAACAAACTTGTTAGGAGCCACATAGGGTAAAACATTAATGCAGGGCTGTGCAAGGCTGATGCACATGGGAGGTTGCAGGTTCACATCCAGAGACCTCCTGGTAAATGCCAGGCTCACAGGCCCATACCTAAGGCTGGCTGAGGCTGGAGGTGCACTGTGCATGAAGGCCTTGTTGGGAGTACCTGTTTCTCATCTCTCACTCATGGTAGATAAATAAACTTTAAAAAATTGCTTTGTTTTTTCATTTTTGTTTCTTCTTCCACACAAAATCACTCATTTTCCACACAATAGTCTTAGTGTAAGATGTCTATGCTATATAGCTTTTGCCTGCAGGGAATGCTTCTTTGAATATTTGACTGTCAAAAACTGATTTAAAGTCTTATAAAAGAACATTTTGTTCCAAACTGGCTGTACCCCTAAAAGAAAGACAAAGAACATCACACAGGCTGGCACTATTGCCAGAGAGAACATCACCATCTTGCCAAATTCGTTCTCCTCAGACACAAACTCTAACCATTGTGATGACAACACAAAAAAGAAAAAGAGATGACATAAAGGAGAATATGATCAAACAGTGTAAAACATGATTTGATTCAAGCATACCTCCTACCACGAAGCAGAGGTACTTAGAATATTACCTCTAGGAGATTAAAGGCATTTTATTTTTTTAAAGGATTTAGAACCCTAGGCTTTAACTTGTAGTTTTAGGAGTCTTTCTCCAGTTCTGCTATGAGTTAATATATAATTTTTTTTCAAAAGGACACATACATTCACTGGAGAGACAGAGACAGAGATTTTTCTTTATTTATTAAAATCTGCCAAATGAATAATGGGTGTTATATTTTCAGAATAAAATAGTATTATTATATCAGATAAAATAGGCTTTAAATTTTTTCAGAATCTTAGATTTATAAGGCTATAAGCAAGGGAGACGTTTTGGCATCTATTGCTTGACGTGGTTTAAGGTATGACAAGGATTCATCAGTCATTTGCCACTGAACAAAGATCAAATGGATCAATTCTCCATTTTCGAAATGTTTTTTATATACATATATAAACTCTTATTTCTTTATCCATCCACACTTTAGTGGCTAGTTGAACTCCTTGTCGTCTCCTCCTAGCTACTACCACAAATAACAAGGGTGATAAATGCTGTTGTACAAACATGTTTATTTAAGAAGAAATTCACCTGGAATACTTCAATTCCAGTTTCTTTTTGTTTATAATAGTACCATTCTGAGGACATATCATAGCTAATCATCTATCCCTTATCACAAAGCCACCTTGATAAGAGTCATAGTAAGATTATGAGACATGAAGGTTCCAAAGCCCCAAGTTCATATTGCAAAACCCATGGATTCCAACAAAGCAAGCATAGGTCAAGTACCACACAGCATAAATTCTAACAGATGTGAAAAGCTCCCTATTTATTAAGCATTCACCAAATACCAGTTACTTTTAAGGAGCTTCAGTACTATGATAAAGCTGTATGTTGCTATCTTTACTTGTCTTATCTTTATAGTTGTATTATTTCTTTCATTAGAGAAAAAAGAAAAAACAGAGATAGAGGGACAGACAGAAACACACACAACAGGGTCTTCAGGCTGTGGTCTACCTCCCTCAGCCAGCTTAGATCATGGACACACACCAAGTGTGTACAGAAAGGCTCTAGGCCATGAATCCAGGACCTGTTCTATGTGGGTACAGCTGCATAATTGCTATGCCACCACTTGGCCCTATTGCTGTTTTAAGGGTACATTTTTCTTTAAATAGTTTTTCCTATAGGGTGCATGTACGTGCCAGAGAGAGACAAAGAGAAAGAGAGAGGGAAAGTGGGAAATCACCCCCCAAGGGGGATGGCCATGCTGCAATCCCTTCTCTCTCATCCTCCTCTCAGGATTTTGGGCATGTATGCACATGTGCCTGCCATGTTTTTCAACTTGCCAGGTCTGAGACTTTAACTGGTCAGTCAGCCATATGGGATTCAGCCACCTTAACCTCTGTGCCACCCCTTGGCTCTAAAGGTACTATAAAGCAAAAGCCACTTCTTGGTTTTATGTGGCTAGTTTCACCTTTGAGTCTGCTTCACCCCTGCACACCAGTCACAGAATTCCAGAATAGAAGAATCCTTAAAGTATGCGGAATGAGGACTCTACAAAAGGTCTACACCAAGGGAGGTGCACACATTTTTTTTTCCTTCAGTCTTGTTTTCCTACCAATTGGTTTCCTGTTAATTCAGACGTGAGTCAAGGAATGGTGCCCAATACAGAAGCAACACCTGCCAATGTCATCAATAATAGACCCCCAGATGGATGCACTAGTGACTCCAGGAAACTCCCCCAAAGTCTCCAGGTAGAATTTTCCCAACTGTCTTCTCTTTCTCCAATAGGAGGGCTCAATGACTCAAGCCTTCATTTTATAGATAATGGAAGTGAAGTGCCTAAGGCTTTAAGATGCCCCATAGCTAAGAGGGTGAGAATGGGGACTTTAAAAACATAACTTGACCAGACAATGGCATGGTGGTTAAGGTGTCTAGACCCCACATGGCTGACTGTAGGCTGAGTCCTGAACTCAGTGTCGAGAAACATACCAGGTGCATGTGTGTGTGCACCCAAAATCTCAATAGGAGGAAGAAATGGAGAAAGAATTGCAACATGATCATCTCCCATGGGGAAGTGTTTCTTACTTTCTCTCTCTCTTTGTTCCCAGGCCTCATTTTAGACCTATTAACTCAATCTTGGAGCAGAAGGAATTTTGTCAGTTTCTGCCATATAATTCTAATACAAACCCGGCCTGGTTCAGGGACCAGCTGAAAGGATGACCATCAGATGCAGGCAAGAGGCAGTGACAAGGGTGCTGTTGAGGCCAGGCCCCTGGCCTTCAGACTGATTTTTTAACTTTCAGGGTCACATGAGGTCAAAAGTATCCCAACCAACCCAAATGCAGGGAAAGCCAGAATTTTTAACTGAGTGAGGGGCTTCAGATCACAAAAACACAGGGAGAAAAATAACATGGTGATTACCGGCAGTTAAGGAGTTACTGTAGACTGGGGGCAGAGAGGAGAGTGGAAACAATTTTTTCCTGAAGACTGATTTCATTAACAGCGAATCACTTTTGCAGACTGGAGTCATTTGCAACCAAGACTGGACTGACTAGTATAGCCCATGGTTGTGCGTTGGCCACAGAAAGCTAGGAATGCTCTACTGCTGAGACCAGGTGAAGACATGCTTATTCCATTCTTCTCCCTTGACAACTACGCCCCACACCTACAGAATTTTCCTTATGCCAAGCTACCTTAGTGGTTCTGAAATTAGTTTAAGG